TCACCACAGGGAGGAAGTTTCAATTTCCGGTGTCCTTGTAAAAGCCTAATTAGGATTCAATTAATAGCCACTAATCTGTCATGACTTGTGTACTTTGCGTCACTGATGGAAGACGAGCTGAGACGGAAGACAGATACTATTTGTATGACAATGCGATCTCGCGCGAATTTCAAAGCCGGCATGAAAGTGGCGCGTTCGTCAGGGAAAGCATCTTCAGTCTTTGGACCCTCGCTTTCCAAACAAAGGTAATCTCGTACGCAGTATCAGTGACCAAATGGTTTTACCGACAGATATAATTCATGGCAAGTCAAAATTTTATGCTTTTTATGTAGAGATGATGTTTGGAAGTAGCAGGGCCGATTATTTATAGCTATTTATGATTTGGTCGATAGTACAGACAGTACTGGCGCTCGAGTCAACCCATCATGGTTTGGTTTTTCAACGAGGAAAGATCATGTTGTTGTCGTTCCAACCTTAGCACGAGCCTTTAACTTGCGCCAATGAAATGCAGACGAAAGCGGGTTTAAAGCGATCAAAGAAGGACTAAATTCCTTCCAGCTACTAGAAAATATAGCGGGAAGCGGTCAGAGAAGTCAGAGAAAGCGTTTCGTCCTGCGGAGAAGATCTCGAAAAGGTACTTGGTCGTGGATTAATGAATTGGGGAAATTAAAATGAGGGATTCATTCGAGAAGCAATATCGTACGATTTCCTGACGGTGGCAGATGACCGTCAAGTGAGAAACTCGAGCATTCACGTCGTTGTTTATTATGTAAGCTTAAATGATTTTTATTAAGGGTCGCTGACTGGATTTAGCCTGAATGGTGATGCTCTCCAGCCCTTTTCAGTTTTCTAAACATCGGCCGAAACTTGGTAAGTCCATTTTGGGTTCCTTTGTATCATCTTCAAATGGATACCTATTATCATTTTAGCGCAAAAACGTTTTAAGGTCGACACTGATCACTCGATCATTTCATAAATTCTCAATAACTGCTAATGATGTGAAAGTGTAATGTTCATGGAGAATGTTGATGGAGATCACTATTTCTTAAGTCTGATCGCAAACGAGTCAGAGTTCAGTTTTTAAGTGTGGATCGTAGTGGATATTTTCAATTTTATTGAATCGAATCCCTTTTAAGAAAACTTGGGAAAATTTATTTTCCCAAGTCAGTGGCTATCAACAGTCAGTAAAAGTGAGTAAAATTTCATAAACCAAAAATTGATTTACAGATTAAAGTTTTATTTAATTTTGCACTGATCAGACCTGTGAAGATGATAGTGCATGCCCCACATTAAGTAAAACAGTTTGGCCTTCCTGATGCAACAGAGCAGCTTAGTCTTTTTAGGCTGTGGCTCTGTGAGAATCTTACTCTCCGGGTGTCTCAGAGGGAACTAAAAACTGGCTTTTAGATATTGCTTGAATCTCTGTCCAGCATTAAGAAAAAAAGTTTGGCCTTCCTGATGCAACAGAGCAGATTAGCCTTTTTAGGCTGTGGCTCTGTGAGAATTTTATTCTCCTGGTGTCTCAGAGCGACGTAAAAACTGGCTTTTAGATATTGTTTGAATCTCTGTCCAGCATTAAGAAAAAACGTTTGGCCTTCCTGATGCAACAGAGCAGCTTAGCCTTTTTAGGCTGTGGCTCTGTGCGAATTTTATTTTCCAGGTATCTCAGAGGGAAGCTTTATTTTTTAGACATTATTTAAATATTGCAAAATTAGTGTTTCGCTTACATTTGTATTTAACCCCATCCAGATCCAGTGAGGCCTTTAAAACAGCGCGTCAATTTTAAAAGTTTTTTCATAAGGCAGTTTCCGTTTAGCGCTTAGTGTTAGTTCTGTCCTTGAATGAAGTTTCCATTAAGGTGGCTCGACTGGATTTTTTGGGGGGGATACCTCCCAAGTTTGAGCATTAACTACATCGCCATGAGTAAAGATATGGAAAAAAGATTACCACAACTGTATTACATAAAGATGAAAATTTCTTATGATCTGGGTTTTATTGCAATCGGAGTCACCATAGCAACGTAACGACGCCATTACGTTTTTTATTTATCTTTGTGTTTATCTGTACCGGGAGTTTTTTTAAGAAATCGCTTAAGGGAGTTTGTACCTACCATAATTGCCTCAATTATGGCAAAGTTTGAACAAATTCTATGAGAGCGTTTTTGAGATATTTTGAAACGAGGTTTTAAGCATCATAAAAACAGTGAAATAGCATGCCATCCACACAATTAGCTAAATTTTTAAGAAAATGATAAGCTTGGGAAACGCGGCTTCATCTCATAGTGGTTTGATTCCATTGAAAACTGCATACGAAAAAAGAGGAGAATTGCTCTGGGCGATTGCGAGTAAGAAAAATTTTAGTAACTCGCATTCACCTGCTTTTGTTACAGTTTTTGCACGGAATTTGGTCCATGCCTACAAATTTCGCATTTTTCAAAAAAACGGTCGATAATTTTTTTTATAAATTTGACAATCCCGAGATCAATTGTCTATAAATATAACCTGCAAGTTTTAAGAACATAACCGGGTAAAGGAATTAGTGATATATTATAGCATCGCAGAAACTCTTTGTAAGAGTTTCTGTGATGTTATAACCCGAGTAAGATAACTAAGTATTCCGTCTTACTCGATAAGCCGTGACGTTCACCGTCTCGGCTCTCACTGCTATCTGTGACACCAGCCGATTATTAGCATATTCCGGATATTTTATTCCGAAAGTAATCGAGAGTTCTTTTTGATGCAAATTTATTTCTTTTTGCCAAATGTGCACGTGCATATGAAACTTGGAAACAATGCCAGTGAATAATGAGGACGCTCACTTGTAAACACAAAACCTGGGGGAAAATTGGTTATATTTGAGTTCCCATTTGAAAGCCTTCTCTGTTTTCAATGTTCTTGAAACTTGCAGGGTATGTTTATTGGCAGTTGATTTCGGGATCGTCAACTTTGTAAAAAAAATTATAGAGCGGTTTTTGGAAAAATGCGAAAATTGTAGGCATGGACCAAATTCCGTGCAAAAACTGTAACAAAAGCAGCTGAATGCAAGTTACTAACATTCGTCTTACTCGTGATCGCCCATAGCAATTCCCCTCTTTTCTTGTACGCAGTTTTCAATGGAATCAAACCACTATGAGATGACGCCGTGTTTCCAAAGCTTATCATTTTCTTAAAAATTTAGCTAATTGTGTGGATAGCATGCTATTTCACTGTTTTTATGATGCTTAAAACTTCGTTTCAAAATATTTCGAAAACGCTCGCATAGAATTTGTTCAAACTTTGACATAATTGAGGCAATTATGGCAGGTACAAACTCCCTTAAGCGATTTCTTAAAAAAAACTCCCGGTACAGAGAAACACAAAGATAAATAAAAAAGTAATGGCGTTGTTATGTTGTCATGGTGACTCTGATTGCAATAAAACCCAGATCATAACAAATTTTCATCTTTATATAATACAGTTGTGGTAATCTTTTTCCCATATCTTTACTCATGGCGACGTAGTTAATGCTCAAACTTGGGAGATATCCCTCCCAAAAAATCCAGTCGAGCCACCTTAAAAAAGCCTTGCGTTCAGACGTAAAATTAGGGAAATCTTGTAAGCATGAATTGAAATATATGAAATGCAGATGAAGGTATGAAAGTGAACATGATCATCGCATTAAATTCGCAGCCTATTCGGTTGAAAAATAATCTGAAATATTTTTGCAGTGTTATCGCAGAAAGTTAGAGGTAATATTATGCACTGTTGGGGAAAATACTCCGCGGCTTTAAATTAATAATTTCCTCAATGTTTTAATTCCGGTAGTGTAGTAACCTTTCCGTTAAGGCAGCTTCTAAAATGCACTCGAGAAAACCGCACAGTCTCTGTGAACTCTCACTTTCACTTGCGAGAGAGGCAAAAAGAAAATAGATTGTTCTTGATGAAGGCTAAATATTTTTTCGATCACTGTTCCATTCACTGATTCAAGGTACATTTTTCGAAGCCTCTCTAATAAATTTCCTTTGATTTTGTAAAGTTTAATTTTTTGCATTTCACTCAACAGGTTAAGCTATTTTTTCTTAGAAAAAGGACAACTATATTTTCGGATTCGGAAGAGAGGAATCAGAAAAATTATTACTTTCGTAAAACTTTAAATTGCTTCTAAAATTTTCGAGAAAATAATACTGGCACCCTTTTAATTTCGAAAAGACTCAAGTTGCCCTAGGATGACCGAACAGATACAAATTCTAATAGCACCGCTTTAGAATGTATTTCTAGAGATCAAATGTACTCTTTATAGCCTAAAAAGACATTTTAAAATGTGTCGGGTGCCCCTGAATAAGGTAACGCTGGGAAAGGCCTGAGGGGTGTTTAGTATACCACAGCGAGTCGACTAAAATCCAGCTGTATGGCAGCTGAGTAAACTAGCTCGGTGTTTTTATATGGCTAACGACGGGGGATTTATAATGGAGACTCGGAGAAAGCAGGCTGTCATTCTTACAGGGTCCCCCATGGGGTTCTTCAATCCCGTAATCCCGAACCAAAATTTCGTGCAATCTCATAATCCCGAGGGGTTTTTTTGGCATCCCATCTCCCAAGCATACCGTTAATCCCGAATCCGCCCCGATTTAATATCCCGCATCCCGAGCTTCAAATAAGGGAAATCCCGTATCCCGAAAAACCTCCTGAGGACCCTCTTCTTAGCATGACAGCCTGTTTAAATATCGCCGTCCTTTGATTCCTAGTTAATCTCAATTTTCTTTCTAGAGTCGATTCGTTGGGTTTCTCACTTTCAACACGCGCAAGTATACGACTGACATTTGACACGACTTGCACACTTGATCCACGTGGTAAAACTCCACCTTCTGGCCCGTGGATTTAGCTCAATCGGTAGAACGCTCTACGTAATCTTGGGTTTAGAGGATTCTGGTACTGAGTGAAATGACGCCAACGTGGAGTTAGCTTATTGTTATACTCAATAAAAACACACGCATGTGACAGGTATTTCACTTTAAATTGTACGTTTATTTCTCATAGAAACTCCAATCCTAATCCAAGAATTGCCTCAACACTGGGGGTGCAACTCCCATCGAGACCGCAAGTTAGTGTCCTTGTTAGCAAGCAAGAGTCTGAAGTAGAAAGAGAATTTAGCCTCTGTTCGTATTGCTGGCGTGTGCGCAAAACGAGAGTTGACTGTGCCATGGTCGTTATGCATTTCGTTTCCGATTTTACAGAGTGCATCCCTATACAGATCAATGTTAAAACAAGTAAGTAGATCCATACCCCGCCCTTCCCGGCACATCTGCTAGGTTGAAGTGTATATTTCTGCTTTGCTAATTTAATGTATTATTTTACCTACTTTGACTTCCTGGTAAGTTCTGTTACTATAAGTATTTATTCCTTACTTGATCTTTAATAGGGATTAAAAACAATTATCCTCATATTAATTTTCAAGAAAACTGTTCTTGCTTGGTAACGCGAGTAGTACGTTGTGCTACCTCGTAGTTTTTCCCTCCCTTTGCTTAAGTTATAGAAATCAGATATTGAAGTTAAGTGCAGTTTTTCCTATTTCTTTTTCTTTTTTTAAACAATGAAGCCTACTTTAGTGAAATGATAGTCAATTAGGAATATGTAATACTTTACTTGCACCTTGTTTTTAGTTAGTGCCACAATAACGCAGACTACAACCAGGTGTACCATTAAGATGGTACACATAATATGAACCACAATTTCTCACTTTGATGTTTGTTGTCGCCCAACAGCAAGAAGACCAGTGAAAACAAACCTGTCTGCTGACCTGACCGTCTGCTACTGTGGGATGCCCTCCGTTTATCCAGCCGGGTGCGTCAGCATCACACCTGTTTTTAGGTGGACATGAAGTTGGCATTCTTGTGCCAGCGGACCCCTCAAAGCGGAACCATCCAGGTCCAATTGCATTGTCACAGTAAGTGTTGTAATCTGGGTACGTTATCTTTCTGTCAGCTGTGTTAAGACTTACGTAATTCTGGCATTCTGTAGTAAAAAGAAATAATAATTACAATAATGAAGCCGCGGTGAAATGTAGCGTTCATTCGTGAAACGAGGAGAAGCAATAGCAATTAACTCACAAGGAAAAGAGAACGAAAACGTTTCCCTTGTCTTTTTATTTATTTGCCTATGTCGTTCGCATAAGCCAATCTTATCTCTCATAAATACTGTAAGCTGATAGACAAGTTTAAATAATAACCGAACTTTGTAAGGGAGGAGGTTGGTGGTTTCTAGACTTCATTTTCATAGTTTTTTCGTGTCGTTTACGGTTGCTTTTTTGCCGTAGCAAAAAAACACACAGTAAAATAAAAACAACAATAATCGACTTAAGGGTACATTGACTTGGAAACGAGGTTGATCGATCGTTCATTTGCCTGGAAACGAGGCTGTATTTGCGATAAACCTCGTTTCCAGGCAACGGTAGTACGGTACTGAGAAGTACCGTTTTATAAAGTGACTCCCACTTTATGAAGTAGCGCAGATTGAGTTGAATGAAACTACTTCTAAACGCCACTTACATAGTTGTCCTTTACCGAGGGAAGCTGCTTTTATACCTTTGCAGTTTAAACTTACTTGCCCTTTAACAAAGGACAGAAGTGGAAAGACTACCATGATAATAAGCTCTGCAGATTGGTTGCCTTCTATGTAACCATTACCACGCGAAACGATTGAAAACTTAAAGATTTTCATGAACTCATTGGTAGAATAAGAAATTTATCTCGGACCAGAATAGGCTCCTTAAAAGCTAGACTCTTCTTTTCCTTGAAATTATCAAGAACAAACTTTACAAGGCCGAAAAAGCAACCATTTTCAATCTTGTATCGCCCGCAACCTTTGTTTACTAAAATAACTTCTCGCTTTCACGCTAATAAATTTAGGCAATCGTAAAAATTGTCCAATCAGAAGTCAGCCCGCAAAATTCTTCGGGCTGGCTTCTGATTGGTCAATTTTAACAATAGCTAAGCCCGTGCGCCCAGCCCTCCGGTGGGGAGTTCCGCGGGCACATCGAGGCACTCGAGGCTGGAGACTGAGCCTAAGAGGAGCATGCCATCGACTGGATCAACGCCTATATCGTGTCGCGGACATGAGGACTGGAGACAATCAGTAACGGTGACGCTTCTTTATCGTAAAATATGGACCAAGTACTCTTTCATGATGCTCTAGGTTTTAGATTGGCCACTGATCATCAGTCCATCCGATCAGTTTTATGGCAGCTAATGTGGTCCTTGTCGTAACGTTTCAGTTCCTCTTCTGTTTTCTTGCTCAAATCGCGACTAAAAATGGTGTTTCTTTTTCAGTTGTTTTAACAGATTTCACTCAAAACATCAAAAAAATAATATCAAGAAATAAAGGGCAGCGGATCCCAACCCCGATCCTGTGTTGGCATTTCACTCACGCCTTCTTTTGTACTTTTTGATAACAAATCAATCGGGTGGATGATATGCTGATTAAGGTATAGTGCGAAAGAGTGAAACTTTTAGGAGTGGATGGATTGTTGGCTCTACCTCGCAAAGCGCCCATTTCCCCCTTTTAATAATGCAGGGCATCATTTCTAAGAGCTGCCCCATAAGATATGATAAGCGCTATTGATCAGAGCTACCCCATAAGATAAGATAAGCGCTATTGATCAGCACATGTAAATACGCGCTATATAAATTGATAAATTATTATTATTGTTATTATATACAGTAAAAGTTTTTTGTTTGTTTGTTTTGTTTTGTTTTGCTTTTTTTTTGCATAATTAGTTGCATATGGTTATTCAGACAACCGATGAAATCCTGAGGGCAAGAAGAGAAGAAAAAATCGGAACGAACTTTTGAAACACCCTGTATGCGTCATATATCTTAAGTACCTTGGGGAGCCTTGTTAAGTGCATAATAGATCGTAGCAATGGCAGATCGTTGCAATGCCTCTAATTACGTTTTGAGAGACACCAACAGCAAACTCTCTATTCCTCCAGACAAATGTTAAGAAAAATAGTTTTTCTGGAGCAGTTCTATGGAATAACCTTCCTATACATTGACTAGCAGCAGGCAAAGTCTCTCGCGGTTTTGAGGACTGGCTGTAAACATCTCTTCGGAATCCGGAGGTCTACACGGTACTTACGTAAAGCAGACTAAGGCTCTCAGTCTAATTCGATTTGCAACAAAGACAAGGGTAAGGTTTTGGGTGCCTTGATTCTTAAACAGGTTAAACAATTCGAAGTGTCTTGAACATGTTATTTTTGTAGACGAAAGGCCTTGAACACGGAGTAGACTTTGGCGGTGCGCCGTATAACATGTGCGGTACCAACAAACTTTTAAATAATCTAATCAGTGAGTCTTGTTTCCTTTTTCATTTGTTTTTCTGTCCCCTTTATTACTCAATTCAGTGTGAAAAATAAAAATGGACTAGAAAGGTCATCAAAAATGGTCTTTTGTCTCATAAAATAGGGTAATGAGATGACTGTTTTTTGTCTTAGTAGAGTCAGGGTTTGAAGGCGGGCTCAGCGGCATAACCACTACCCAAACTTTCATAAGTGCCTTCCAAGGGGCATATCCGCAGAATATATAGCATGGGGAAAGACATTTTCAGTAGAGGGTACCATGGGCGTCAAAGAAATTTTTATGGACTAAGGCTAACAAGGATGAGGAAAGTCCTCTAGTCTGTCTTTCCTTGTAGGTGTTCCCATTCGTTCGTTACAAGATTCTTGTTAGGTTTTATGAGTATTATACTCTATTTTGTTTGCCTATTTTTGTTTTTATTTTTTTTTATTATTATTATTTATTTATTTTCTATTTTTTTGCGGAAAAGACGATGTTCTCTTTCCAAACGCTGTTGAAAGGAACTTTCAGTCTTTTAACCTGTCATCTGCAGTTCAGTATCACAACTAGAGTTTCCATGACACTAGAACGTCAATCAGTGCAAAGTCTTTCAGACCACAAAGCAGCCCGTACTTTTTGCAAGCCAAGAACGCGCGAATAATCGAGCGAACAAATGGTCTGGAGCAAAACAAAAGGTCGTTCCCTCTTATCTGGAGCAAGCGAGGGGGGAGAGTGAGTGAGACTGAGGAGAGAAGCGAAAAATACGTCCTAATAAAAACAATAGAAACAGTCAAAGAAAAACGAAAAGAAAAAAAAGAAAGAAAAAAAAATACAGTTTCTGAGTCGTTAGTACTACCAAATTCGTTCCTGCTGATGAATAACAAAGAGCCAAAAGGGGCGGACGCTCAAGTTGAATATATACCATAAAAAGTTGGAAATGAAGGAATAAACGTAGTTGACATGTAACAGGCCCCCGGATAGTTGGGAAAACGTAAAGAAAAGTGAGCTAGAAAAAATGGCTACGGGGAGGGGTTAGGGAGAGAGGGCGAAAGAACCTCTTTTCCTCCTCCTACTCTCCCCCTTTACTCTCTTCCACGTTTGTTTTCCTCCGCTCTCCATTTCGCGCCACTTTCCACTATCCACTGTCCACTTCGCCTGGAACAGGCTAGTTCCTAGTGGGCCAGAGAGTTCTTTCCAATGCCGATGCAAGGGTCTACAGATGTCATTCTCATTGAACGCGACTGATTGTAAACACCTAAAAGTTATCATTACATCAATGGCCTCTAATAAAGCTCCCTGAATCGATAGGATTCCGATCCGTGTAATTAAGGATTTATTGGGCTCTACCCTTCTTCCTGTTCTCACTTCTGTCATAAACACATCAATAGCCTCAAACATGTTTCCTACACAATGGAAACTAGCCGAAGTGACCCCAATACCAAAAGATACAGACTATATATATACGAACAAGCGAGTAACAGTGGGCCGACTCGCTTCTGCCGGTTGTTTCGAAAGACTGCGAAAGGGTCGTCTATAACCAATTCGCACCATTCCTTACGTCAGAGGGGAGGCTGTCGAACAATCAAAGCGGAAACAAGAAATTCTATTCAACAGAAACGTCCGTCATTTAAACAACAGACATGATGGACAAAAAAAATTAACAGCCATGGTCCTACTTGACATGAGTAAGGCCTTTGATAGTGTCGACCACAAACTGATGATCTCTAAACTTCAAGATGCAGGAGCTTCTTCTTCATGTACAGAATGGTTTCATAGCTATTTAAGTGGCAGGCAACAGGTTTTCCGATTCTGAGCCTCTTCCTAGTGTCAGCGGTATACCCCAAGGGAGTATATTAGCACCTCTTCTTTTTAGTATACATACGAACGACCTCACCTCTGTACCAATAAAATGCATGGCAAAGAGCTATGTGGACGACACCAACCTACTAATTTCGTTTGATTTGAAAGAGAAGACGCTGCAATAGCTCATATAACAAGAGGACCTATTCAACGTCAGCAAGTTGTGCTACCAGAACTAAGAACTAAGAACTTAACCCAGATAACACTAAACTCCTGGCTTTTGGAAGCAGACAGAAAAATTAAAAGAATTAAATTGGCTCCCAGTAGAAAAAAATCAGTAATGTATCTTAGAAGTGCCACTCTGGCATTTAAATTTATGACGGGCTCAGTACCAGATTATCTTACGTCTAAATTTACTGCACGATTTAAAATCAGTGGGCGAGAAACTAGAAACTCACAATCGCTACATATTCCCTTATTTTTAAAAATCGGCGAGTGGCCAGAGAAGCGTTTATTACAGAACAGTGAAGATATTGAACTCATTGGATAATGAATGAAAACTAAGCAAAGATGTTTTAAGCTTCAAACGAAAGCTGAAAAGTAAGCTACTTTGCTCGGCATAGAACTTTACAAACGATGCTTCTTGCATTTTATGTATCATCGTATATAGTGATTAATTCTTAGCTCTTAGATAATTTTGCCAATCCTGACTTCTTATATATTTACTGTGTGCTCCTTTTTGTTTGTAATCATAGTTTTTTGTAATTATCTTTGAAAAGCCTTCTTTAAGGAAAGATAAAAAAGAATGCATATATGTTTGTATGTCCATTTATAGCATTTGACATTTAAAAGCTCAAACTTACTCGCGCTGCAACTATTCCTGCTTTAGCATTAGTAAAACGCCACATTTTTTTTTTTCTATTTTCCGTTTTGCTGTAGAGGAAAGTTTTTGGCGAATTGTTTTTGATGATGTTGTTTCATCGTCGATCGGAACGAGTTAAAATATTTTCTGAAACGTTTGTCAGAGTACCTTTATAAGGGTGCATCGAATAATGTACATTTCATGTACACTTACACACAATTACTTGAAACAGAAAACTCGTAAGAAAAAATAAAGTGTTCAATTTAGTTAATATTGATTGTCTCCGTCTTAAATTTAACGTATTTATGCCTTTTGACGGATGCTTAAATCAATAAAACACACCACTGTACTTGTTTAAAGTCTATTTTCGTTGGGCTCGGTCGCGACGTCTTGCCGACGTCCCCCAAAAAAGCCGACTTTTGGGCAATTCTGCACTGTATATTACATCCAAACAAAATGACTCTTCTAAATAAGATAAGTGTATTGAAAGATGTAATATAGATTGTATGCTGGCATTTGGCATGTAATCAACTTTGAATAGAATGTTTAAAGTGTATCTGTCGTTAACACCGCTTGCGTGACGGGCCGTGTAACGCTCCACTGGAATGCAGCGATTTTCCGCAAAATTAGGGTTGAACTCGTGGTCTTGCGGGCTACTTAAAATCGTTTGCCTAGAGATTCGTTTCAATATTCTGATAGATTGGGGCCTAGATATGCCTTAGAAGGTCAATTTGCGAAATTCTAAGTTAAAGCGCATTGTAAAAATTTGCATTATTTTATCCCTATAATTTTGAGTGATAGAAATTGTCAATAGGCCTTATTTTTAACAATACCTTTTTGGCCACTGAAATTATTACAGCTTTCACAAATTTATCGTGTTATAAGAAAGAAAGGCTCACAATAACTATTCGTGTTCTTCAAAGGCTGCCAAATCGTTGTGGTTTGACCTACGCGTCAATGACATTTGTGTAAAATTTCGCTTTACCAGAAGTGAATTTTGAGCTCCGAACGGGCAAAATGAATTTTCTCGAATTTTAACAAAAGCATGAGCGAAACATGAGCGAAATTCGAATTTGGAACTTGTGCCGATTTTGGTCGATATTTACAGACAGTCGCTCTCAATAAAATGGGAACACAAAAGCAACCAAAATAACAAAGGTTGGTCAGATATAATTATGCAAATACATTGTACAACTTCAAGTACACAGTTTAAAGACCTGTTCACATGAAGGTGGGTAACCCGCCTGTCCATATAATCTCTCATTTAATTTTAATTTGATCAGGTTTACATGACAGGTGCCTCACCCACCTCCATGTAAACAGGCCCTAAGCGTCTACCTGCCTTCGTAAAACAGCTGTACAAAGAAAAGAAATTTCCGCAGTTATTCTGAATCGCGCAAAAGGAAAAAACGTTCGAAGAGATTGTCGCTGCATCTAATTGCGAATTAATTGCATTTACCTTCGTTTGGCGTTTTTGGTAAAAGGTCGGAAAAAAATTGGAACAGAATTAATAAATTGTGAGGAAGGGAAAGAAGAGCGAAATAAAATACACTGTAACGGAAAGGAAAGCGGATGTAGCAAACTGAATTTCTTTCAACGTTTACCGCGGATGAATGAAAATAAAATCCAAAGACAAGATACTAAAAGAAAAAGATACTAACAAAGATAAAAAGATACTAACTACCAAATCAAGATTTAGTGGAACATTCTCTGAGGATCTATCTCCGAACGTTCCGTCTGTTCAATTTAAAGTAAGTTGTAGTTAGACGACAGTTGGGTCTCGACGGTAAGTTGACCGCATTCGCAGTTAATCGGCAAAATTAGAGATCTCAACTGTCCGGATTGAAAGTAATAGTGCATATATCGTGATCATGTAATGATTTTTCGACCCCCTCCTTGACATGGCGGAAACAAGCTCAAAGTTTTCTTCTTCCATTGTGAACCTTTCTATGAGTCACAAATATTTCATATATTTAACAATTATTGAATGAGGCTGAGTACGATGTGAAGAATTATACAGATCGAGGAGGAGCATGCCATCGGCTGGGTACTGCCTACATCGGCTTTCAAATACGATAACCGTCTGCCGGTAGTGAGGATTTAGCAGCGGGACTGGAGACAATAAGAAACGGTGAGATGTTGTGAATGAAACAAGATTTCACTTCGTCACGTTGATTCAGTTTCGAACCCCCAAATATGAGTATAGAGGCAAAGTTGATTGAAGTCTTGTCTGAAACTATTTCAATCATTTTGGTGAGAAGGGTCTAACCGCAAAGTGATTTCTGCAAGTTAAGCCTTTCAAGTATGTAGCACTCCTGTAGTACTATTCGCCTTGTACAACGTATTTACAACGCTCCATTTTCGTATAGTTCTTATAGTGACGCTTCTTTATCTCTTGTAAAAAAATGAACCAAGAACCCTTTGATGGGTGTTTGTTGTTTTCTATAGGTAGCTAGAACAAGGGCACAACATTGCACGGAGGGGATGGGGGAGGAAAGCAATATTTCCTCCTTTTGAAGTTCATAAAACGTAAAAAAGCCCACTTTTGGGCGAAGTGTCGCAACTCATTTTGTCGCCGATTGTAGCAACAAGCCATAAACAAATAATAGACGCCAAATGCACGTCATCGTGCATTGTGGGTTTCCAGGCAACACGGCCAGCAACTTTTTATTCATCCTCTGTTTATTGTACGCTGGCGAATCGCAAAGTATTTATGAGGCATATAAAAGCGGGCTGGAAACACGACAGTGCCCAATTAACACCAAAAGAACGGTGACCTGAACTTCAGCCAGAGCAGCGAAGAAAAAGACCACTCCGTTAATCGAGTGGCCTATTTAAGCCCGAGAGTGAATAAACACGGCAATAATGCAAAATGGTTTTGAAATACTCGTTTGAGTTATTTTTCCTTAAATGTATCTTTGAATTCATGATAAATACAGCTCCATAAGGTTCAAACAGTGTGAATGGCAGAGAAAAACACTTCAACACTATTGATTTTGATGAGTTATGGGCGCTTAGTGGTCGCATGGCCCAGTGGTCAGAGGCCGCACTTTTTCGCTGGAGGAAGTTGGGGTGCAACTGGGTTCCAACCCCGACTTGTCTACTTCCATTTGTTTTTTTCTTTCATCGTTTTTTTACCCTTTGGCTTTTTACTGTTTATTCTCACTGCTGACCCCGTTAGCTTCGCGAGATTTTTGCGAAAACGTATTTCTAGTTTTATGCACTAAAATTGGTTTATTTCCTCACATTGACGCTGGTTTCTTTATCGTCTGTCCTCTTATTGATCATAACATCGCATCATGACATTGTCAGAATGTTGTGGATCCACGAGCACGAGCCCCAGGCGAGTGAATCTACTAGAAAAATTGACAATGTTGCTGCGGACCTGGCGTCAATTTGCTTTTTACTTTAACAAAAGTTTGGAAAAAGGATTAGTAAAAAACATTTTGGCTTTCAAAAAGAAACTACGAACAGTAGAACCCGGTTAATACGGACACATTAGGGGAAATGCCATGGTGTCCGTATCATGCGGATGGCCGTATTAAGTGGGCTCTCCGTAAAAACGTCCCGGAAACATCTTGTATTGATGTAAAGACTATGGCAGACAAAGAGGAAGAAGGGTAGGAACAATGACTGTGCCGAAAAGCCAAGGAAGTGAGACTTGAGTAGTAATCATAAAATGGCTATATAGTACACGAAAAGAAAGACGGACTTAAAATAAAACATATCAAGCTATTCTGCTACTTAAAACCAGAATTCTGTCATTGTTTGGACAGTGTAAAATGTCTACAAATAGCACGTGATTGTGATAAGGAAAATAGACGGTACGCAGATAGCCAGTGCCCGTAAATAGCAGGGTTGACAGGATTTGTGCCTCAGGACACAGAAAAGTGTCCATTGTGTCCGTATTCATCGGTGTCCGTATTAAAGGGTAAATTTTAGAAACTGTCCGTTATATACGGGTGTCCGTATTAAGCGGGTGTTCCGTCTTGCAGAAATTAAAATTTCATGTCTGTCCTCTTCGCACTGATAGAAATATCCGATCAACGCGCGAGGAAGAACTCAGTTAGTTTATGAAAATGTGGCTATCTAAGAAAACTCACAAATCCCGCGCGTCGTGATGTCGTATAAAATACTTTTACTTTTTACCTTTGTAACAGTAAAACAAAACAAAATTCTTACTGAGTGATCTTGTGCTACACGTAAGAATCACTTCACCAACTTATTCTTGGATCGACTAATAAACAGTACTGAAATTGGATTAGTCTGGTGATTTCTCAGTTAAAAAACTTCGACATTTTGGTGAATAAGTTTTTTAATATTTTAATATGTTTATTTACAGTATTTACATTAGATCTTTCAGTCATTTTAACCCGTATTTTTTCTCATACTGAATACCGGAGAGCTGGTATTGTGTCACGAATGGCCATATTTATTTTTTCTCCTTGTCGTTTCTTTTTAGGAGCTTAGACTCCCTTTTGTGAATGTCATTTCTGATAGTAGGTTTTCTATCAAAGATTGTGGGTAGCCTCCGTCCATCAAGCGTTTTTTTTTTTTTTTTTTAATTTGAATTATTTTCCTAAAAGGTTGTTTCTGAGGAGTTTTTTCATAGGACTCTCAAGGCTTCTCCTTTGACAAATCCTTTTTTAACATTTGGAGGGTTACACGAGGTGAAATGTGTGTGCAAGAAGGTTTCAGTTTGTTTAAAATGTGTCTTTGCATCAAGGATAGATTTTTCCTTGAATCTGGTGCCTTTGTATACAACCGTGTCTAAAAACGCAGTCTCAATGTCAAATGTTTCGAATTCAATAGTTGGATGATGTAAGTTTGCTTCTTCAATGAAGGCTTTGATGTCTGGTTTACTCATGTCCCATAGGGAAACGATATCGTGTATGTACCACTTCCAAAGACAGTTTTGCTTAGAGTTGTTGTTTCAATATATGTCATGAAAATATTGGCAAAGGAATCAAAACTGCTGTCTGTGTGCCCATTGCAGTTCCATGGTTTTGTAAGTAGTGCTTTCCATTGAAGTGGAAGAAATTTTCTTTGAGGATTAACCTAGGCATTTCCGACAAGTAATGTGTGGGAATGAGTTGTCTATGTAGAAATTTTCATATGTTTTGAGACAGACAATTTCAATATACCCTCGTTTTGCTGTATATTTGTGTCAAGACTCCATCAAGACTCATATAATGTTCGGTGTTTCACATTTGTCTTTTCAGTGAAAGGTATGATTTCTGTGATTTTGATATTGGTTGTAGCAGTGTATCAACAAATTTTGTCAAACACAGAACAAGGTTTTATTGGATTATTAAGAGGAAACCAAACATCCATGTATAAACAAGGGGGTGGGTCATGGAATTTCCAACCTTGCTTTTAGGGGTGGGTCAGTCATTTTTGCGCCGAAGGGAGGGGGTGGGCCATGTGTTTTTTATCAACCACATTTCCAAATGCTCCGCCCCCCCAACACTTTTTGACCAGTGTTAAACACATACGAGGGTCTCAATGGGGTGGTGGCATTTACAGTTATCGGCTAAAATTTTGGCTCTTTTACGGCTATCGGCTAATTTTTTTCAGTTACGGTTAACAAAAAAGTTAAAAATTAACTTCTTTTGTTTCAAAAAGTTAAATATTAATTAACCTGTATCTTTAAAGCAAAATAAAGGTCTTAGGATCATCTCGGGTTATGAAATAAGCTATTCTTTTTTTAAAGAATTTTAACATTTGATAGATCATACTTTTTGTAAAGTAGTCCACTTCTAATATTATTTTACACATAAAAATGTCAATAGTCAATTTAAAAATAATCTTTGTGAAAAAGCAAAGCACACACCCGAACGCCTAACTCAAGGCCGGGGTGCGACATTCACTACAACAGAAATGGCCGTTTTCACACTAAAGACGGATTATTCGTGTGAGACGGGTTATCCGTTTGATGATTCGCGTCAGATAGGTAATACGTCTTAATTTGAAAATGGAATAGTTTTAATTTTGCATGAACAATCCGCCTGACTTTATCCTTCAACTTCGACGGACAGTTTGAAGACGGGATTATCCGTTCCAGATAGCCCGTGTACAACCGCCCCTTCCGCTCAGAAAAAAAATCGGGGAGGGGATGTCTGTCGGGAAGGGAGCGACTGTACACAGGCTAGTCTCAGACGGATAATCCGTTTCTAGCTCTAGTGTGAAAACGGCCAAAAACAAAATTCCCGTGTCCAGTGTTTCTAATGGTAGCGAAGGACTGTACGAAACCACTGTCAGTCGTTTTTCCTTGTCCGTAGGCCTTATTATTTCGCGCGGCTAATGCGTTTCGGGTCACGTAGTCCGAGCGAGTTCGTCACCAAAATGCCTTGACCGAAATTGCGTGGGAGGACGCCGTACAGGGACTAGGCATGGCAATGTCTACCGTAGCGTCAGAGAAAAACAGGGAAATGTTGTTTATCGGCAACTTGTTTTACAAACAGTGAGATCTCTTCGCGTTGTTTCACTAGTGTTTCGGGGGCTCGACCTCCTGAAAATCGCAAATGTTAATCCCCAGCAAGAAGCCACACTTTCGCTATGGAAAAAAAAAATTAGTTCCCCGAGAGCGGCGGAAATGGAAATGGGTCTTGGTCTTCACCCAAAAGGCGTTTTACCTAACGTGCGTACGGAGCCACACTAGTCGCGAAATAAAAAACGCAACCATAAGTGAGTTTAGTACCTTCCTTAAAAGAAGCAAATCTGGGGAACAATTTCTTTTACGGTTAACTTTTTTTTACCCTATTTACGGCTAAAGGTTAAAATTTTTCAATTTTTACGGCTACCGACTAAATTTTTGGCCGTTTTACGCCTATCGGTTAACCCCGTTGAGACCCTCACATACTAGTATGCGCAAAAGGCACCAGGGCAGTACCCGGCAAACAGAAAGCGTCAGTCATAGAGCAGCTGGTTGTAGACAACTCAACGAACAAGATTTTTGTGTTCGTAAAAGGAAAGAACTGTTTTCACGGACCCAAAAGATCGTCAAGTTAAACATTACCGCATCCAAAGAAAAAAGCCAACTCTAAGCATTAGATCTTTTGATGGCTCAAAGAAATCAACATCTTTCTTTAAAGTACATGTAATTTGTACTTACGAAAAATCATTGTTGTAACTGATGTTGCAGTTCTAACTATCGAGACTATTAAGATCGTATTTAAACCTATCTTTCTGAAACAGGTTCGTTTATTAAAACCCTTGGATATCTTTATGACGCTTTTGAAATACGCGCGAAAAAGGTACGTCTGTAAAAAAAAGGGTAACACAGGGACGCGAAAGAGGATGTCGACAAAGTCTGTATCGAGCTACAAAAAACTTCTGACAACACAGGTGGAAAACCTACACGCGGTTTCTCACTTCAACACAAAACATTTAGTGCTTTAAACTACGCCCAAGACTTTGGAACCACAATGAAGGAATCGCTTCAAAAGAACTACGAATTCGAAGGGTTGCACTCAAGAAATATCGAATTGTCCCTTGTCAAATACTTTCATGCCTCTGTAATTTTGAAGTAGTTTATGGGAGGACATGCATGACCAGGTCGAGAAGATCAGTACGAGATCATGACCGGTGCGTCTCGATCTATGAGGCTGGTGTCATATTGATGGCTATACGACTTGATCTAATTTTAATAGGGGTCTTAATAGCTATCGCTTACCCATTTTTACTACTTCGGTTAGATAATTGTATGTTCTTTTCTATATTTTCAGTTACTTATAAATTGTACTATTACCGGAGTTTATGCAAATTAATGTAAATTTATACCTTGATTTTAGAAAATTCGGGTTATGACGGAATAATATTCGCTGTAGGAAAGTGAAAGTGAAAGTTAATAGCACCCTCTTAAAAAAATGCGAGTTTATTTCACACATATTAAGGGACTTGCCCGCAGCCCCTTATCTGTAACAGGTTTAAGAAAATGATTGATGCGCACTCTCGTAATATCGGAAACAAAAACAAGTTAGACATGCCTTCCTTTAGATTCACTGCCGGTCAGCGGCCATGAGCGGTCCGCTTCTGGAATGACTTTGCAGAATCTTCAGGTAATATAGAGAATCTCGAGCACCTTAAGGCTGAGGTGAAGAAGCGTCATTTCCTTATTTCATTTTTTTCCAGATAAATTTCAACAACGGTAGATAATTATGCTTTTAATTATCAAATTGCAATTTTAAAGTCAGGGCTTCTGATATGTCGCGGAAAAAAGAGTCAAATTTGGGGATTTGTAGGGACAAAATCGCGAAAAATTAACCGATTTCGCGGGAATTTTCGGAGCAAACTTGGCCGGAAAGAAATCGGTAAAAAAACGGCTGATTTTGTGGTTATTTTCCGAGCAAATTTCGCTAGAAATCGATCGGTTGTGCGCTGATCAGACCAGAGTTTTTAATGTTTTTCTAACAGAGGTCATCACTTGCTCTTTCAACAACAATACGCTTCAGAAATGAACCAATGGCAAAGCCTTTAACATCATGGCTAGTGCCCAGTTTTTCGTAACATAATCTACGCCTGGTAGTTTCGGAACGTTGTTTGCGCGTTTCAGTGACGAAGTTTTGACATAAATTTGCGAATTTAGGGCAAGTAAATTCCCCCAGTAGCTGAGACAATTTTTAGAATTGCTGTACACACAAGTATTTGGTAAGATTTCTACCGAATTTTGCGGTATTTGCGTGTTTTTGTGAATTTTGCGGGTTTTCGCCGATTTACCTGAATTTCGCGGCTCCCCCACCGCGCGAAATATTAGAGGCCCTGTAAAGTTGGCTGAAAAGCCATTTTATGGGGTAGGCTGATAAACTATTACTGTTACTAAATATTTCACTTCAATAGGGTTGCTAAATAACGGTTTTCTCTTTTTAACTAAAAAATAATAATGATAAAAAGGGAACATATATAAAAGAAGCCAAAATAACAAAGGTTGATCAGATATAATTCAAAAAGTGCAAATACATTGTACAACCTCAGGTACACAGTTTAAAGACTTGTTCACGGGTAGGTAAGTAACCCGCCTGTCCATATAGTGTCTCATTTTAATTTGATCAAGTTTACATGATAGGTGGCGGTGACCATATGAGAGATTCTATGGACATGCGGGTTACCCTACCTAAGCCCCACCTCCATGTAAACAGGCCCTAAACGTCTACCTGCCTTCGTAAAACGGCTATCCAAGTTAAAGAAATTTCCACAGTTATTCTGAATGGTACAAGAGGGAAAAACGTTCGAAGAGAGTGTCACTACATCTAACTGCGATGCGACGCGACATAATGGGAATTGATATAGATTAAGTTTTGCGGAATTGCAAACCGGTCAGTGACTGGTACATGTAAGAATTGTTTGCGTCTCACTTCATCAACTTATTCTTGGCTCGATCAATAAACAGTCGAGGAATTGGATTAGTCTGGTGATTTCTCAGTTAAAAAACTTCGACATTTTTGTGAAAAAGTTTTTGCAAATAATTTTTAATTTTGTTGCAAATTGGGATGACCGTAGTACATAACATTTTATGTTTATTAGTATTTACATGAAGTGTTTCAGACATTTTAACTCTTATTTTTCCTCAGACCTCGGACTGAATTACCCTTACCCCCGCCCCAAGTGAGTGAGTGAAGTCCATTGGACGATATCCCTACTGAATACAGATACGTTTTCAAGGAGGTTTCACATTACTGAAAAGCATAATAAACTGGCAAAGTTGCTAATCTAAATTTATGATCTTTATGAGGTTCTCGTTCCTGTGGTGGCTTTCTATTGTAAAAGCTCCTTATGTAAAAAAAAAAAAAGTGACTTGCGCACGGTACAAATGCATTACTAATTGAAGTCGCATTTATCTTCGTTTGGCGTTTTTGGTTAAAGGTAGTAAAATAAATTGGAACAGAATTAATAAATAAGGGTAAAGGGAAGGAAGAGCGAAATAAAATACACTGTAAGGGAAGGAAAGCAGATTTAGCCGACTGAATTTCTCTCAAAAGTTACCGTAAATGAATAAAAATAAAATCCAAACACTAGATACTGAAAGAAAAAGATAGTAACAAAGATAAAAAAGATACTAACTAGCAAATTAAGATTTAGGGGAACATTCTCTCAGGATCTATTTCCGAACCTTTCGTTAGACAACAGTTGGGTCTCGACGGTTAAAGTTGACCGCATTCGCAGTTAATCGGCAAAATTAGAGAAATCAATTCTCCGGATTGAACGGTAGTAGTTCATATATCGTGAATAATGTAATGGTTCGCTCGACGTGATCAATGTGGATGATTTTTCGACTCCCCACCTTAACATGGTGGAAACAAGTTCAAAGTTTTCCTCTTCTATTGAGACCTTTATTGAGTCACCAATATATCATATATTTAACAATTATTGAATGAGGCTAAGTATGATGTGAAGGAGCATGCCATCGATTGGGTACTACCTACATCGGCTTCCAAATATGGTAACTGTGTGCCGTTTGTGAGGATTTAGCGGCGGGAAAGACAATCAGAAACGGTAATATATTGTTAAATAATATTGAGAGGAAACAAGATTTCAAGCTTGTGGCCCCTTCCAATCTCACTCCCCTGCTTCTGTTTAAACTATTCGCGTGAGAAGGGTCTAACGACAAAGTGATTTATGCTGGTTGGATCTTTAAAGTATGTAGTACCCCGGTACTATTCGCCTTGTGTAACGGATTTGCAACGCGCTATTTTCATATATTTCTTATAGTGAAGTTTCTTTATCTCTCGCAAAAAATGGACCAACAACCCTTTGATCGATGATGTTCAAAGTTTTAAATTGGCCACTGATCATGAGTCCATCCGATCATTTCATGGCAGCTTATGTGGTTGTTGTCGTAAGGTTTCAGTTCCTCTTCTATTTTCTTGCTCAAATCGCGACTAAATATCGTACTCTTGCACCTTTCTACGGAGTACTGAATTCTGAATACTGAATATCTTGGGTGTTTCTTGGTGTTGCGGAAACCGCCGCTTTTGTTTTGTGTTGTGGGTATTGATCAGTTTTTTTCTCCGTAACACCAAGAAGTGACTACCATTTTGCAGTGCATTATTGTGATTGTAGTGATGTCTATAAGAATTAGTCAATTAATTCCAAAACCGCTATCTTGAAATATTGCTTAATATAAGAGGCTGCAGGAGACAATAAAATCCAGAAATGTGAGAAACTCAAATAGTAATTAAAAGGCTGGTTTAGTCAAGTAGGTAATAATCGAGTATAAGCACAATCTAACCGGACTAGGGACGATCCTATCCCTACAAGTGGAAGTCACTAGTAAGTAAACTGTTGCAATACAAGCATTCACTACAAATTATTGAAAAGAAACTTTTCCTTTCTCATGTTCTTTAATGGGCCTTGGCTTGTGCAAAGGCGGTCATGATACACGTATTCGTGCGTCGGGAAAAGGCAAGCAAAAGGGGAAAAGACCAGAAAAAACAAATATATATATATATTGCAGACACTACAGCGCGCGCTGATGTCAATACTCATGTCGCTCCCCCACTATATATATGCAGTTCTCACTATATATATGCAGTTTGAGTGGCTAATAAAAAAAGAAAATTGAATTTGATTGATTGATTGATTGATTGACCAGATCTTGCTTTCGGCTTCGTCGACAAGAGATCTGGGTAATAATAGCATTGAACTGAAACCCTTTTAAAACAATCAAGGTTAAAGCAACATGCTTCTAACGAGTGTAAATAGGGGTCTAGTAAATGGACATCTTCCTAATTGTTGGTGATTATTTACCGTATGGAATATTAATGCAAGTTTTGCCATCTCCGATGTAAGGACTGCTACATGAACAACTAAAAGATCCCACTGTGTTTGTACATGAAGCAAGTGAACTGTGGCAGTTGTGAGTACCGTGGGCGCACTCGTCAATATCTACAAAAAATAAATACAATACAAGTAAGTGTAATCATAACTTTTATAACCGTATTCTTTGCAAAGGGGAAGCAAGTTAAACGCAATTAATTAGTCTAAGCTTGATAAAAGAGAAAAATGATCGCAGGCTTGAACAATCGATATTGTTAAACTTATTAGACAAAAAATATCGCACCTACACACATCTTACGACTTGGCGCCTCTTGCCGACCTGGCCCCAGTTGTTCAAAAGATGGATAACCCTATCCAGTCGATAAATCTCTATCCAGTGGATAGCGCAATTGATAAGCTAATACTTATCTACTGAATAGTTATTTATCCGTTGGATAGCACTATCCAGCGTTTGTACAACCAGCGCCTGTACTTTATTTTTAATTTATTGCTTCCATAATCTGTCTGCTTGACATCGCCTGTCTGTTCGCTTACTCCAAGCGGCCATTTTACATTTTACAACATCTTACCGGAGCATGTTTTTCCATCGCCTGTGAATCCTGCTTTGCACGCGCATGTGTACGATCCAGCAGTATTGCTACAAACCGCATTGGCGCCACAGCTGTGAGAGTTGGTAGAACACTCGTCGATATCTGCATGAGAACGAGTAAATTGCATAGGGTGTTAGAATCAGTGATATTATATCGATCTGATAGTTCTTATCCGGTAGATAAAATCGTGTATTTGTTTTTATTATTATCATTATTTATTTATTTATTTATTTATTTATTTTTACAAAATCTGATTATATTTACCCACACGACAGGTACTAACGACATGACAGTGTTGAGCTTGTGTCTTCTCTTCAATTATTACCGTCGAACCTCCCTTAGCGACCACCCAAAATGCGAACATTAATTTTAGTGGTCGCTTACGAGAATGGGACAAGAGGTGGTATATCCCACTAGTCAGGCCCCAAAACGTCTATTTTTGTTTTGAAAATAATTTATTTTACGGAATTTACGATATTTGTAATTCCTTCTCCGCTTATGGGAAGAGGAGTAGTCTAAAGGCGGACCCAGGATTTTTTCAAAGCGGCGGTTGTAAGTATGGGAGTTCGAGGCAAACGTCCCAGGGCCAAAGGAATGCGGAAGGTGCGTGGTAGCGTTAGGGTTAGGATTAGCGTTATGTTTGAATATGTAGAATGTGTAGATTTTCTTCGTTTTGCTTTCAGAGGTATAAATTTGAGGCACTATTGTTAAGGACTATGAGTACAGTGCAACAACGATAGTTGTTTGTCTTCTTTATACCCGCCTATTTAGTCAAACAGACTAGCGCTAGCTTGAAAGAGCCTTCTTGGATGAGCCTTTACAAAGGCTTGGCATATCTCTTCTACCTCGAATCTCTCGGAGTAGTATATGGCGATCACTGCGAGATCAGATAATCGCTCTTTAAGCATTGTTGACCTAGAGCAGTTCTTGATTCATTTCATCAGTTAAAACGATCGCTCAGGCTCTGCGCTTGTGATCGGTAGGGTGCATGCAATGACCAGAGGGCGATAGATGTTTGGAAAAGCATCTTCATCGCAAACACCAAGTGCTAATAAAGGTTGTTTGGAAGCTCCCTATCTGTTGACTGCCGGAGTGTTTTCCATCTACGTACCTCATTTCTTAGGGTTTGAGAAATGAAATGTCTTTCTCCCAGAACAGCATGCCTTCATCTTTATCATCCAGCTGCAGTGCCTTATTTACTGTAATCGATGGCACGAGACAAAGCAGATGGCGGGCTTGGCGATCTTCGTCAGATGATGATTAAGGGGTCGAGAAGAGGAACAGCTAAAGTCTTCTTGTAATGATTGATTGGACTGGAACTTATATTGTAACTTATCATACTATTTTTTGGTGAGGGATAGACATGGGTAGTCAATAAGTTTGAAAACTTCCCAAGGGGGGGGGGGGGGGGGGGGGGGGGGGGGGAGGGGGTTACAACCCAGTCAACCCTTCCCCTGGATCCGCCTCTGTAGTCTCACATGAAGGTTCGACTATATTTTAAATACCATCAGTCCGGAATATCCCTAAATTTAAGGACAGGGCCAACTGGTCACGCGACACTCTTCAACCAACGAGAAGGCGCGCTTTGTGTTTATCAACAAACAAATCAAAACATCGCCCCAGTGATCAAAAATTTTCAAAACAACGGACGGAGTCGGACAGAATTAAAGATGAGATTACAGTACTGGTCTAGGTTTCACATTTAATATTTTCAAAGAAAACATTTCATGTAAGAGAATAAGAGCATTAATCATTGCAAGGAATCATTGGTGTGTTCGAACTGATTCCGGACCGATCGCAGAGGTCGTGGCTTCACTGGCATGGCTTGCAAGATTTTTGATAGAAGCAACTGGTCCCGTGTAAAAATAGCCTTAGAGAGAGTGTGAAAATTTGTTGAGATCGAACAAAACAGGATTGGTACTACCTATTAACTTCTACAGGACAAGAATCAAGGAACCAGTCATCATAACAAGAATAGAAAGTAGTTCAAATTTATTAATTTTTCTTGTTTGTTTTTTTGTGTTGTTTCGTCTTGACTTCACGCATCTGGTGCTTTCTTTGGTTGCCGTAGTACCTGCAATGTTTTAATTTTATCCCAGATAATCAGTGCATGTTCAATCAGTAGCGAAATACAGCATTTACAATTCAGATTTGCCTTGTTTCTTTGATTGTCTTTTAACGGTGGATGAACATTTGGAGAATCCAACAACATTAAATCTTTCCAGCTTAGTGAATTTCAGAAACAAAGCGGTTAGTATCTACCTTCTGTACCTTGCACTTATGATCTTCAATTTCATCCCCGCAAATTCGGCAAAGTGAGGAGAGATGTTGGACGTGAATATTCATAAGACTGTACTAATAAAGTTGTTTTGGCCTTGAAAAGAAAAAAGGCAAAGGCTCGTACTAATGCGAAAAAAAGTAATAACACGGCTTTTGTGAGAAACGCGGGAGTGGAAAACATACGTGTTTTGGACCTCGGAATTCAAAAATTGTCTACCAAAATTCTAGGTTGTCTACCATTCCCACATTCAACATGATAAAAGTTAATCGATATGACAATCGAGGAAAAATATCTAGAACTTCGTAAAAATCTGTGAATCGAAAAAATAATAGATACGTGTTCACCTACCTTGAAAACAGACCAAAATCTCTCCTATACATCGCGTTGTTTAAAAGATAAAAGAAGAAATAAGCCACAAAATGTGCTGAATATTTCACGAGACACTTCCAATATGGCTTCCGATACGCCCTCCACTTAAAAAAATTGTGTATGCCTCATAAAAAGTCTTAAAAATATGCCTGAGAGCCTCGAAACGATGACTGATTCCGTCCGACTCCGTCCGTTGTTTTGAAAATTTTTGATCACTGGGGCGATGTTTTGATTTGTTTGTTGATAAACACAAGCGCGCCTTCTCATTGGTTGAAAAGTGTCGCGTGACCAGTTGGCCTTGTTCTTAAATTTAGGGATATTCCGGACTGACCATTGCAAGACTTTCCATCTCCTGTGTACCCAGCATTACACGAGCATGTGTATGAACCCACGGTATTCTGGCATACAGAATTGACGTCACAGGAATCCGAACCAGTGGTACATTCATCCAAGTCTATAAAAGAAAACACGCAGAGACTTCTTGTAGAAACGAAATGACTTTTTTAGTTAATGAAGCTATAGTTTAAAAAGTACAGTTTTATATACTGTAGGGTATTTGGGTAATTAACGCACACTAGCGAGGGAAAATAAAATGTCAGAAGGAAGGAACATGTGAAAAGGGTCGTCACCTACACCCTGTACTCATTTTTGTTAAACATTTGCAAAGAAGTGTCTTGAAAAGTAAATAGAGGTCAGCACGACTTTCCCGCATTGGAAAACAGGGACCTTACGATCCGACAACGGCGACGTCCATGAAAACCTCGCTGAAAAATAGACTCTGCATCCTTTCAAACCAAGTCTCCCAGTTACTTAAAAGAAGGGAATTTATGTTAGAGCTGGAGAGGGTGCCTCACCCGATTTCAGACAGAGATGGTAGAATTTATCGCCTTGCCTTTCCCGTCCTCAAAAAACCTTGAGATCATTTCACGTCGTAGTCGTGCAGAGACGGCAAAGAAACGTTACAGTACAAAAAAGAGTTATGCATGTGCAGAGTTGTTGTTTTGCTAACTAAACCTATTGCTTTTTGACGTTGCCGTCGCCGTAGCCGTCGCCGTAGTTGTCGTAGTTTCGTAAGGTGCCTAATATCCGCCGAACGCCAACGGAACGTTTTCCTGGACAAAATTAATGGTGGAATATAAATTCGACTTCCAATATTTCTTTAAATCAATTTGTGATTCCGATTTCAGGCCTTTGCGGCCATTTTTCGGTATAAATGGACATTTTTTATGCAAAATGTAGGTGGTAATCCCCAATGTTTCCAATACCGAAAGCACTCTAACTTCAGTTAGTCTGATTGGTGTTGCTATTTTTCCATGCAATCTGTTTCGATCGTTTTTTGCGTAAAATCAAACGCTGTATGTGCTCTGTGCTTGTTAAATGCATTTTTGAAAATGTCTAGAAGCCTTTCTGGATCATGAGGATTAACAAAGATATAAATCTTACTATGCCTCGTACCTTTAAAACAAGTGTAGTTGTAACAGTTAGTACATGGCACATCATTCCAAGCGTAACCATGTTTGGCTCCAAGAGTGTGAACACAGTCTTCGTTTTTCCAGTCGTTCGGTTGCTGTGGGGCCCAGAACCTAAATTTGCTTATTTCTTTGTTTGTCCACACAAAGGAGCCCTCCACACTTCGGTCATTGAGTCCAATCCAAGATCTCTCTCCGTTGTGACGGTGTTGAATGTAGACATTTTCTTCTTGATTGTGAACCGTTACCAAATTCGAACTCATCGTAGAACAGTTTGATTCAGCGATCAGCCACGAGGCGCATGCTCGACTTGTGAAGTAACAGTAGCCACCGAAATAACTCCATCTTGGCTGGCAAATATCTGTGATAAGGATATAAAACGACTGTGCAGTTTAGAAATCCCCACATATTTGGTCCCTTAAAGAGTGCCTGTTCCACGGGCTTCCCAAAGCTTAGTAGCGAGAACAGAACTATCGAGAAGCGCGAGAAATAGAGGCCAGCAACGCGAGCGACTGGGAACGAGGCAGTTTCACAAATATCATTCCATCTGCTTGTGCGGCCGACACGCTTAGCAGGAGGAAAAGAGGAAAATAAAACTGACGACGCTGGATTGAGAGCATTTTGTACATGGGATAATCAGTAGCAAATACATTAACGACTTCCAGGGAGCCAATATTTAAAATAATCGCCTTTCTCTATTAATGAAATGACCCTCGTATCTGAGTTATCTCTTTATGCCTTCATAATGAATTAGTTGTAAGTAATCAGTAAAACCTATGCGTTACTAAGACGAGAATTCCATAAACCCGCTCTTACCTGACAAGACAGTATATGATACTGAGAGAGGGTCGTACTTAGACTCGTACAACTCTTTTAAACACACTCGAGCTCCTGTTGTGTTGATATACTGAAAAATGAGATATGTGACGATAAGAGTACATTTGAGAATGCACAATTCCTTAATTATTTCGTCTTAGGTTCGACCATATAATGTACTTTGCTATATTGATTGCCGTTAATACTGTATTAACTACAGTTTTACCGACTAGTACTTGAGCCCCGTGCAATTAACCGGACACAACATTGTTGGCGAGGATTGTTGGATGAGTGGGGGTGTCGTGTGATCAAGCAACTCGCTCGCTACACTATGAAGTACCAGGAATCTGATTTACATCTTGGTCTTTATTCTTCTTTGACTTCTGCTAACAACAATGTTGGGAGTTGTTGGCCAACAATGTTGCGTCCGTTTGGACGAGGCTTTAGTTTATTAGGGTTAAGGTATATGTCATTGGCATTGCTTAATAAATTAATGTAGTCAAAAGCGCTGGTATTAATGAGAATGAAACTAAGAAATTCACACTGCCTGTTGGTTCACTTATTTTGAACGCTGTGACTTAAATGCACCCCTCCTAGAAATAATCCTTAAATGGTTTATTGCCGTGACAAAAAGTTTAGCAATTCAGTTAGTTAACAAATACCCGCACTGCTAACGTGGGCGCTAACGCCT